TAGAGAATAACTGTTTGTCTTTTGTTCTGTTTCAGGTTCTAATCACACTGGTGTGGCTGTAGCATTTGCCCTGCTAGTTATCTTAGTCTTTGCTGTTGGACTGGTGTTGTATCTCTACAAAAAGAAGCGTCTTCACTGGAGTGCCTTCTCTTCAGTACGCTATCAAAGAGGGATGAACGATGATGAAACGGATGATATGTTTGCGAAAGATGGCTATTGAGAAACTTCCTTCTGGTTAATTTAAGAAAGAACTTCACTGTGTGAAGCCATAAGAAATTAGCTGCTTGATGTTTTATTACTTGTTCTTGGAAAAGTAATAAGGTTATGAATGGGGGCTAAAATTTGTTCTTTTATATGCAAGTGCAATTTTCTGATAAAAAGTCAATAATAATTACTTGGCCTCAGCCTTTCAAGGTGCAAGGTTTCTAGAGTTCTGTTGTATTTTTTTAATTTATAGCATTTTCTCTTTTTACTGGAAAGAGCTTTTAATGGAATAAATTAATGCCAACAGCACTTCATGCAACATCACTTTAATGAATACATTTAAAATTTACTTCCCCCAATACTCTTACTTATACTAGGATTAAATGCCTAACTTTATAGTTACCAACCTGTAACTTCATAGGTTAAATATGTCATCTGTCCAGGAAGATAAAAGATATGTCTAAGGAAAGAGTGAGAAAGAATATATGATAAAAAAAACTTGTGTACATAAATGCTAAAAATACTTGAGTATTTTACATGAAACTTAAACTTGATTTTTATATGATGTGTCACTGTAGCCTTTCCTATGCACTCCAAAGAAAGCTATAAAGGAAAAAAGGGAAGACAGAGTTGTATATATTAATTACTAAATGATTTGATCAGTTAATGTTTTGAAGAAGTCTTTTGACTTTTTTTAATGCACAGTACAAAGAACAAGCGCATTTACTTTTATGAAGGAGGATATGCAAAAGACCAAATCCGTTCTGCATGTGGTGGTGTCATGAGATGGTAAATGGGAATCCATTTGGACTGACGTGCTGAGAAGAGTACTACTGATTTCTCTGAAGCAGCGGTGCGAGGTCGCGATGTTCAACTGCCTTTTTTTCCTGCAGTTTACTTACGTTGATGGCACTTTTCTTTGTTCCTGTTTGCACTATTTTGATAAGCGAATGTTTATCATTTGTGTTGAGAAATAGAGAACTCTTTATAGATACTATTTTGAGCCTGTTAAAACAACAGCCTGAAAGGGGCAACTTAAAGGAGCCATTGTGGTAGTTTGCTGATCAAAGAAGTAAAGCACTTTTGTTGTTTGTTTGGTACTTTGGGCACAATTGTGAACAGTTGCTTTCCAGAGATAACTTATAGAAAAAGTAGTTTTGATGTTAGTTACTGTGTAATGAAAATAACCTTCATTCTTTAGCTTACCCTGGTATGAGAAGTGTTTGAAACGTTGCAAAGCCTGGTTCCTGATGTCTTCTGGTTAAGCTTATATGCCTAAGTGCTTTGCCAAATGACTTTTAACTTAATGGACTAGAAAAAGTGTTGGTTATTGTGTTTTTCTACCTACAGTAAAAAGTGGGGAGAATTATTTAGAAGTTCCCATGTTTTGAGATTTACTAGTTTTATAGATGTTTATACTTTGAGCATTTTTAGGTGTGAATCTGAAATGTAAAGTGTCAATTGGTAGTAAAATCCTAATTCAGTACAAAAGAATATATACTTTTTATTAAAAATTTTATATTTTATTCTTATGAATGATGTAAATAATTTTTTAAGGCCCCATTTCTCATGTTTGTTTCATCATACCCAAGTTGTCTAATCACTGGTAAGTCTTTTTTGAGTAAGCACAATGGCCTTAGTGCAGGTGAATAACCCACTTCATTTGAAATACACAGATTATTTAGGAGTACCATTATTGAAAGAATAAAGTTAAATAAACCACTAAAGTGCTTAGACTGGTTTTATTTCCATGGAAGCAGTTATTAGAGCTGAGGAACAGCTCATTAATCACTGGGTAAAAAAGCACATGGCACAGGGGCTGTGATTGGAATTAAGGCAAGTAACGATAAGAAAACTTTAGAGATAATAAATATCTTTGATGTATTTAAAAAGGATGCTGGTAACTTTCTTTTTGCAGTTGAAAATTTATCGTGGAATTTGGTTTTACCTAGCTTTTATCAAGCTGCTTCAGGCTTACACAGTAAGTGAACATTCCTCTGTGCTGTTTTGTTTTAATCAAGATGTAGTTCATTAGCACGTCGAGGCCCAAATTAACTCCAAAGCAAAGTATAAAGGCTTCCAACATAACTTCTCATAAAATATGGGCAAAGTTAAATTACTTCCAGCCAAGTTAATACTTGCAATTAAAGCATGAGATGTATTCATTTTAAGTACCATATGAAGTCTGAATTCCAGAGCTCTAAAATCTGCAACTGCTGGTCAGGGGGCAATGTTATTTTTATCTCCAGTAATAGCTTGCTGGGAGAAACATCCTGTTGTGTAAGATGACTAACAAGGTCATCTGCTTCACAAACATAACTGAAGATGATGCACAGGGAAATGGCAGCAGAGAAGTGAAGTGCTTTCCCAGGTCCCAGAGCAATGGAGTTGAGAAAGCATTCTTCATCCCAGAGCACAGACTGACCAAGACTGTGGTACCTCTAGGGAAAAAATATACAACTTCAGTTCCTCTTCCTGAATTTTGCCCCGTCCCTGGAGACTCTGGATCATAGAAAGGTTAATCCACATCTGCCATTACACCAGCCAGGATTTTTATTTTAGCGTATTACTGCATCAGTAACTTAATTGACATAGAAATCAACAAGTGTTTACACTTGAGCACCGTTTGGGCCTGATGCTTTTGTTGTACTTCTCAGCATTTTTTCCCTTAAACCAAATGCACCATCTGCTCATTGCTCTGTACATATGTTATGCATCTAAACATTTTTGAAAGGAGGAAGTAAATTGCATGGCCTGCGAGTGGTATTTTTTTGGTGTGGCTGCAAATAAACTAAGACCATACATTACAATTTTTGTTGCTAAAAGTCAGAACTACAGTTTGGAACCTTTATGGGTCTGCTGTTGCTGTGTGTTTGGAGCACAGTGGGATATGTAAAACCCAGCTTTCTAGAAGTCAGTCAAATTCCTTGTGTTGCCAAGAAGTATATAAAGTTCTTATTGACCAAATTAAACAGACTTTGCACAGTTTTAAAGCAAATTCACTGTGAGTAATATTGAAGAACTAAGCTTAGGAAAAACAGGAGAGTAAAATTCAATTGTTACTCTAATGGACCTTTCCCATTTAGTTCTGGAGTTTTAAGATGGGAGTTGACAAAGCGCTAAAGAAGGTAATTTTCTGTTAATAGCAAATTAACTTCCAAATGGTGCATAACATAAGTGCCATTATTAAATGCTGTTATCTTGTTTTTATTCCTTTATGGCTAAGCCACAACAATGGTATTTTCACATTGAAAACTCCTGTGCACTCTGTCATAATATCTGTCAGTAACTTAAGATTTTTAACAGACCTGGGGGGTAGGAGAGGATACCAGATGACGTTTTTATTGTGATTACGCAGTAATGCAACACAGACTGTAAGTCCTTATGGATTGCTTTTTGCCAATGCAGCAGGGACTATAATTACAAACAGAACAACAGTAATTTTTTTGTTTTGCTACTTTTTAGCATAAATAGAATAATTTACTCCAAGGTGGCTTTTAAAAAAGTGGAATTTCAGCAATACAAAAGAATTATTTAAAAATGTGTTTTCTTCACTATGCTGGCCCCTTACATGTGCATTTTTTGTTAAAACCAGTGAGAACAGATCTTTTTCTGCACTCTCAGGATGCTCATATGGGTAGTAAGAGTATTGCTCCTGCTTTCTATAAAACTTTTCAGATGTTATGTGCTATAGTTTCCCCTTAAAGAGATTATATAGAGCAGATAAGTTTACAAAACCATGGTGCTATACTTCATAAAAGCTAACAAGCCTTTATGCATATTCAAATTAAACTTTAAAAATAATGAGTTGAGATGATTTTATAAATATGCATGATTGAATGTCATCCCCATTAGCAACCGAACTGCTTTCTCTTTCATTAAAATATCTTTATTTTCATAAACATGATCTGGGTATTTGAAGAGCACCTTGTGTTACATGAGAATGAATTATATGTGTGTGGCTAATAGAAGTCACATTTACCCAGGATCAGGAGCTGCTTTGAGGGCTGGGTTTCCTATGTTGTCTCCTGTGGCCACCATTCTTCTTTGTACCTGTTCTTTCTCCTACCAGCTCTGAAGCACCACCAAATGGAGAACACACCACCACAGACACAAGAGCCAATCGGGCAGCCTTAACACAAGTGCAAGCTGCCAGGAACGGAGACCAGAAAGCACCACTTCCTATACAGAGTAGCAGCCACAGGCCTGAAACACTTGGGATGAACACCACCAATAGCCCCACAACACTGCCACAGGGTGCAGAGAAAGGGCCAGAACAGCCACTCCGGGCAGCTGGAACATCCTCTTAACACCAGGACACCACAGCCTTGGCAGGTCTGTTTCGCTCCTCTGGGAGCTCCTCTCCCCTCTTTCAGCAGCCAGGGAGAAAGCAGCTCTCTTGACCCTTAACCAAGTGCTCAAGACACAACAATGAGGAGTTTGCTGTGGTCAGGAGACAACTCTCCCCTCTTTCAGCCCTGAGGGACTCCTTCCACACCTCCCCTCCTTCTTCAGCCAGGGCGCCTCCTGCCATGCAGATTAAGGGCATTTGTAAATGCTTAAAGGCCCTTTGTAACCCCCACCAGTCTTGCCTTGCAGGCCTTCCTTTGTATTGCTTTGCTCAAAGAGGGCAATTTACCAAGGGCCATCCCAGGGAGCTGGGAGGAGATTGCTCCTAGTGTAAATACCCCTGTGCCCATGGGCACACCCTGAGAGGGCACAAACATGGAGCAGCTGAGTTGCCCTCAGCCTCACACTGCAACAGGAAAAAGAAGCAAGGCAGGTAAGTTGCTCCTACTAATGTGTGTGCCTCAGTAGTGGACCAGCAAAAACTCTGCCTAGTGTGTAACCTGTTACTGAGCCAGTTGAGTTTATCCTGACAGGCTGTCTCTATTTCATTAGAAGTCAGTCAGGAGTTACAGGTGTTTGCTTTTACAGGAAAAACGTGTTTATATTGGTAATCCTGAGCCTGCACAGGAAGGCCTGAGGCACTGTCGTGCATGGGCCAGTGCCTGAGGGCTGCAAGGGGCCCCAGACCTGCCCCTGGATGCAACATGGGCAGGAGGTGGAGCTGGGCACACTACCAGCCAGCTGTGCTGTGGTCAGGCCAGGCTGCCTGAGCCAGAGCAGGGTAGTGAATCTGTCAAGAACCAAAAATCGCCCAACTTAATGCATGTGCCCTGGGTTGCATTCAGACCTAAACACCAGTGTAAAGTCCAGGTGCCCAGTGAGACTGAGTCCTTCCCAGTGGGTGTGAAGGCTGTCCAGCGGTGCTGAAGGGCAGGATAGGTGGATGGGGGTAAGTGACTTTCACTGGCAATCCAGTTACTGGCATTCATCTCAGTGTTGACAGTGGCACAGGGCCAAAGTGTATATCCAGTTGTGCATTAGGAATCTCTGGTATAAAAAGTGGCCAAGAGCCTAGCAAATTTGCATTCCACCGATTTAGGAGTTTATATTTTACAGTGGGGGCTGGAATTCATGTGTGAGGGATTTGCCTAAAGGCCCAAGGGGAGAATGAAATTTTGAGGCCAATGCAGAGAGTAATTATAGAACAAACAGCCTACACAGTGAAAGGCTGTGTGTTTTAGAACAAGGTATAAATAAACAGCTGAAGTTTACAGACAAACTGGTTTAATAACTAGACGAGCTTGTGATACAACTTACCAGAGGCTGTATCTTTGTGTATAAACCATTTTGTGTTTATGGCGTAGGTGCTGATTATAAATTGGCATGAAACTTGTTCATATAAAATAAACATTAGAACATTCACATTTGAATTAACTATTAAAGAAATACTGGGGTGGAGTCCCAAAGGGACTGCACATTACACTGACAAGGTGATCAAGCAGAATTAAAAAGGGAGTGACAGGGCTTTTAGTTGGCTGCCACCTTGGGTGGTTTTTCATGGCTGCCACTCATAAATGCATTCACGCATGTTGCTGTAGTCATGCTGGACCTGCAGTGGTGCATGTTTGCTATCATGATAGTGATGTATTAGATGAAACAAGTGCAGTTTGAAATTCAACAGCTGCACAGAAGGGAGACTGGCTAGCTTGTTCCTGCTTCAATCCATGGGGAACAGGACTGGCCTCTGAGTTTGCCACCAAGAAAAAATTTGGCTTCAGTTGGTGGCAGCCCAGGAAGCAGTGAATGAGAGGGACAGGCCATGCCAGACCCTGATGTGCTTTATCACAAGAGGGATATTCAGGAGAGACATGAGGGCTGTGCAGCTTGGGTTTGGTTTTGACACCCTCTGCACAACCAACCAGTAGCTGCCTGTGTGTGACATAAGGCTTCCTAAGCAGAAAGTAGGCAGAGGCAGTGTGGTTTTGGAAGCAGATAGACAGGAATGTAACAGCTGAAGGAAGAAAAGCAACTGCTGAAGTAAGCAGAGGCAGTTCCAGCCTCGAATAAGGACAGTCTATGCAAGGTGATAGAGAAAAAAGAATATTGGAACAGCTGGAAATCAAATTGCATAGACCAATCTGCAGAGTCCCAAGGCCCTCGGAGCATCTGGCCAAGGAATATAGAAGAGTATGATGATAGGGATTATGCATCACTGCTTGGTTTCCATAACTGTGCACGGATTGAGGGAACTTTTGTCTGCTAGTGGGATGGTCTGTCTGTATTGCTGCCCTCAGTTCTGATTTACCACTTCAGTGACACAAGCTCTTAGGTGAGCACCGTGGCTCGGTCATGCAATTGTGTGTGAAGTGCAGATGGCAGCTTATTTGAGTTAGAAGTGATTTTCTGTTATTAGTGACTTTGGAGGTGCTGAAGAGAAGGGATGGAGCTGATCCTGCAGATTGGGCCTTGGAAGATGATTCACCTCTTTTGCTGCTTTCACTACAATACCCATCTCTGAACCACTGGGACATCTCCCACTAACAAAAGTTATGATTCGTCCCCAGAGAGAATAGCAGAAACTAGAAACAAACCTTCCCCGTTGTAGCAGCAAACTATTTTCTGTAATTCACCCCAAAGGCAAAATTTGCTTCTGTGGTGAAGGGTTGTTGTATCCTCATGCCAGCGATGCTTACTTTTCACTTACAAGTTCTGAGTGTTAAGATCTCTGAGTAAACACCTTAATATGGGCACACAATGCCCATGAGTGAATACAGCCTGTGCAATCCAATAATTTATTAAACTTTCATCTCGTAAAGCCAGTTACAAATTAAAAAAGACAGAAGAAGGAATTCCGTAATAGAAATGAGCAAAGTTACAACAAATAGTAGTGGAGTTATGTTTCAAGTGGGTTCAAGCTGCCTGCAGCAACCCAAGAGCCAGAACATAGAGCTAGTGCAGAGTTAGAACAGGGATAATCAAGACTAGTCTGATACATAACAGATTGAGTCAGTGTACGGTTCGATACAACGGGTTGCTTCTCAGGCTGCCTCTGCATTCGTGTTTCTCACTTGTGACCTGCTCATCTTTTTATTCCTTGTGACAACAAGGGGGTGTTTATAGAATCCTTCAGTAAAGCTATTTAAGGCAAAACTCCAGCTGAAGTATGATGCACAGCAGTGGCTATCCTCTTAGGTTGATCATGTGGCAAGTGCACAGTGCACATGCTGCAGTGTAGTGGAAACAAGAGAAGAGTATGGGTTATGTACAGTGTTTCTTCTTGTACTGTCAATCTCAAAATTACAGTGTTCTGTAACACAGTGTTAGTGACATGGCACAATCTGATGATGAAATGGAATCTGCTCCGTACTGACTCCTGCTTTTCTATGAAATTTTTATTTCATAGCTAATACACCTTAGCTACTACTTCTTCAGAAATGGAGACAGACAATATTAAACGTGGGACAAGGCCCACATTACATACAGTTCTGCAGTTTCATTAAGAAACAGAATGGGCCTTTGCATTCTGGGATCCCTAGACTAGACAAGAGTCATAGAAAATGGCTCGCCACCAGCTTTCTTGTTTTCTAATTCAACTAATTTTTGATGTGACTGATACTGAATATTGTTTTAAACACTGAAGTCAAGTTTCTGAGGTCAAGAGACTGAAGATGACTGTCATCAAAATTCTGCTTCTTCAAATTACAGGAGCTATAAATACCTCAAAGAAGCAGTTGTTTTGGCAAAACAGCATTGTTTTCAAGTTCTGCTGAGGACAAGGGACCTAGAGGAGACTGGAAAGGGATTTGGGGATTCCATAATGCAAGCAGTTCCTGTTAAAAGCTGGAAGTGGATGACAGGTTTGGCATTTGCTTACAGTTGTATAGAGAAGTGAAAATTTTACCTATAACAATTTATCTAGGCATCTATTCACTCACTAGGAAACAGTTCACTTTAAAACTAAAGTTCAGGGACCCCAGTCATCCTAAAATCCCATCTAGAGAACAAAGGATCTTAACGCAGGCAGGCTGGTCAACATAAACCTCCAACCTCCATCTAATACCTGGAGTTTGTGAAGAGCAGCTCTTCTGGAAATGCTAATAAAACAATCTCTCTCTTACACTGTACAGGGGAAAGGCAGTAATTTTTTTTTAGGCAATAGGTGCTGCTTACAATGTGCCTGGAATGGCAGTGGTGCTAGTCCCAAAGATTTTCTCCTATGTTGGAGTATTTAGTAGTTTAACTGAAAGTGCCACTTTTTATAGTCATGTACCTGTGAACTTTTATTGGAAGGTAAAGAATCACCTTGGGTGGTTTTATTTGTTTCTTTGTTTAATGCTCTCTCATGTAGGGTTTGACCTCTCTGTTGGACCACTTGGCTTCAACTACACAAAGGCATTTTCATTCAAAACCAGATCAGATCATTAGTGTATCCTGAAGAAAAAAAAAAAACCAAACCACAGTGACTTATATTTTAGGTTTGCTTGCAAAATAAATAAAAACAAATATTCTTTTAGCAGACCATGCTATGATCACATGATCCCAGATGTCTGCATGTTCAAAATTCAGAAGGAAGCTTAAGTCTGTCTCCTGTCTTGCAGAAATGATTCTTGTGAATTTTTCTGCCAGCATGACAAGTAATGGTGAAAGCAGCAGAGAGGACACTGAAGGAGAACGAGGATGCTTCTGACTTTGCTTCTTTAAGGTACATTGTTCATCAAACAAGCAAGGGGAAAACAAGTTTTGGGTCATTAGTGTTTAACAACAGTTGTTACTGTTTAATGTCTTTGGGCAGAGGTGCAAATCCTATAGTACTGTAGATGTCACTTCAGGTTTCGAATACAGTAGTCAGCTGAATTCTTAGAAAACATCTTTGCTACACTTGTGCTGGCAAGTTGCAAATACTCATCACTAAACTACTGCCAGTTCATTCGCATCACCTAGTCCAGATGCTTGCGTGACTGTCCACACTGGTGGCTGATTTGACACTGCAGCGTTTCTTCACAATCATGTTGATGTATGCTTTCATGATCTTTATTATCTCGCCCACCTGGAGAGAGAATACAGTAACAGAGGATAAGCACATTAAAAACCTCAGTCCACTGAGTCATACAGGACATTTTGCTGAAAAAGACTCCCTTGTCCAAAGTCATGGCCCAGTAAATTTTGCATGCAATACTAAATGTGAACATGACAGTAGGAAAAGAAACGCTTGACAAGTTTGTGCTCTGTTGTAACAACACTTAAAAAGACTTTTAACTCAAAGAAAAGCAACTTCAGTGCTACAAAACTTTCTTTTTTTTTCTTTTTTTTCTTTTTTTTTAATTTGTGAATTACCCATTCATCTATTGGAAGGGAATGAAAAAACCAGGCACAATCATGAGCACCCAAAACTGGAACTTCTCAATGCACTGGAAGACCATTCAACCTCCTTCACTTTCTAACTAGCATTTTTTTTTTTTGTTTATCCCTGTATTCAACAAGAGGTACCATGCCCTTTAGGCTTAAGCTCCCTTCATCTCTTCCCTTGGCTTAGTCCACTAGTCAAGAGTTCTTGCAAAGAAACCTGTCTATTCCTTGGAGCTTAACTGAAGTGGCAATAAAACTGAACATACAGCAAGTCTTGTGCTTTCACATACCTGGGATGTTTCAAAGAACATTTCTCTCTCATCCACTGTAATTTTGAAGGTGTTAGGCTGTGGTGCTCCAAAGAAAACAATGTGCTCATACTGGAAAGTTTCTAGAGGTTTAGGATCCCCTCGTTTGTAGACAGACACATTCTCTGTGCTGACTCCAAGCCAGAGATCGTTGGGGAATCCACCCTCCTTGCACTGCAGAAAGAGAAACATGACCTTTTGCATAAATGCAGTGGAGAATCAAATAATTTTTGATTCAAGGAAAATCCCTCTGTCTTTAGTTCCTGTAGGACATTTCAACTCTTCACCCCAATACAAAAAATGTCTGCAGAAGGTATGTTGGAGTCACTTCTGCTGCAATGATTCAGAAATGACATGACTATGAGTAAAATACTACTTGAGTAGTAAATAATTATAATAGCTAACAGTTCTTATCAGATTTTAAAGTGATGTAGCAAGTCAATATTCCACTTCTTATTTTACAGATAATATAGTGAGTGCAGGCAGCTTCCCATGGTGATCCACCTAGGCAGCAACAAAACTGATAAAATTGGAACTGTGGATCCCTACTCCAGCAGACTGAGCACAGTGCTGTAAGTGTCCCAGTCTGAGCAGTTTCTGTAGTACTGCTGCAGAACAGGATTGCAGTTTTTGCTGGTAAGGACAACAGAGCTTGGGTTTACTTTTGCTTTCAGTAGCCACCACTTTTTTAACCCCTCCCTCCCCCAAATTCCCAAATTCCATTGTTAGTCCAATGAAGTGGGAATCCATTGTCTCCCTTCATTTACCATGATGTCCCAGCTTGCTTGCTCTGTGCTCTTTGCGTCACAACTCTTGGGTATGTGGTACTGCAGGCTTACACTGAGCTTACTAAGGCAAAATGCATCCAGTTACTGAAACTCCCTTCTGCTGCTGAGCAATGTGATAACACGGCTCTATCTGTTCTTCACGCTGATGCCTTTCCTTGCCTGTAGTTACATGAGTTTATACATTGCTCACCTCAACATCGAAGAGTGTTGACCCATAACCTGGCCACTCCTTTACGATGGACATGTATTTCACCATGGCCTGATGCTGAGAGAGTCCCTGCAGCTTGGTCCATTTCTGTGCTATGCTTGCACGAGCAGCTGAAAGCTCTTCCTTCACCCACATCTCCATCATCTGCTCCTCTTCTACCTTCTGCTTCTTTACAGACCCTGTCTTGAAGCTACGTTTCAATGTCCCTTCGAGGAAGCTGGTCCGTCTCCTCTCCAGAGTATGACTGGTAGTGCCACTGCTCTTCGTTGAGTGCAGTATTTTGGATTTCAGTCTGTTAACTGGGTAGATTCCATCAAGGGTCCAACTTATTTTGGAGTAATCTCCATGAAGATACTGAAGCCGCAGAGCTGCTAGGCGCTGCAGAGTGTCCTCTGGTGCTGGAAAATGACCATCTATGAGGCTTTCATGAGCCTAAAAACAAACAAAAAGTCCCTCAGACTCATCAGAAAGCAGAAGCACACTTTATTCACAGGTGGATCCACGTACAGATTCCTATGGCATCTGCCGATCCCAGCAGGAAAGACACAATTCAGGTGGTTACAGCAGACATTGCAATAAATAAGTCAAAGTCTGCAACTGGTCAATGTGGGGGGAACACCCCTTTCTGCAAACCTGGACAGGACAAAGATCTCTGAGGGACTCCTACTCTGCACAGGAAGTCCTACAATGAGGACCATTTATTTCTGGAACAGATGAGAGAGACTGAAATTGAGGCAATTTGGTTTTGTGCTGTACCAGCTCCTGCGTGGAGATATATTCAACACCAGAGTCAGATGTAATAAATTCAAGATTCTCAACCTCAGTTTCATTACACAAAAGCAGTTCACACCTCTTCCTCTTTCACTCAACATCTCCCCCAATCTTCTTGCTTCCCTTTGTCTGTTTTTCTGTAAAATCTATTTATGGGGGAGTTTGCCACATCCATTTAACGCCTGGATAACACCTACTCTCCTACTGTTACTTCTCCTTGCCAGTTGAAGCTGTGAAGACTGAAAGCCTTGTCAACAGGGAGTTTAGTACAACTGAGTTTCCACAGAGCACCATGATGTCTTGTTCCCAACCGTTCTCTAGACATTCTATAATTGACAATACTTGACAATACTTGACGTTCATTTCATCTGTGTGATGAATATGCCACCCATTTGACTATCAGTGAGTTTCAGTCTTCGTGACTCTGAATGCCTTTAATAACATCTTTAATAATTTTCACCAGCTATGATTTTCTGAAGTAAGGTCAGTGTTCATTAGAAGTCATACAGATGGGTCAAATCACACAGCTGGGTGGTGCAGTCAGTTTAGTTTTACATCCCTAACTGGCTCTTTCATACCAGTGTGATCTCTGATCTAAGCATCATCATTTTGCTACGGAATACAGTGACTTAAAAAACAAGACTACTTGTCAGATAAACATTGTCAACTACATTCTTTTTTCCTTTGTCTGTAGTACTCTTCTAGAGCCTCTCTGTAATCAAAAGAAATTGCCCAAAAGATAGGTTTCATAGTTAATTCTGGTAACACCCCAAAGATGTGCTGTTTTTATAAGCTGATCTGCAGACTTTCCAGTTTTCTTTACATTTATGTTCTGCGACCAGCTACTTTAAATGATTCATCTTGAATCATTGTCCAAATTATGTCTTTTAAAAGTAAAGTTTAAAAACATTTTATTATCATTGGTCTTACATTTTTTTTAAGCCTTTGCTAATTTTCTTGCTTTTATTCTAATACTCCTCTTACCTAGAAAACTTCACAGTGTACCTTCTTGGTAGATTCCAGGTAAAAATCCAAAACTCTAATTCTTCTGTTCCAACCAGCATTCCCTCTTCTAATGAAAGGTAAGCCAATTTTCTGTATACTCATGTGCTTCTGCCACCCTGGAAACCAGGTAACTCTACTGACGTGAGCTTACCTGCTCAAACATGAAGGCAAATTCCACCCCATCTTTGGGAACATTCTCAATATCCAAGAAGCAATAAAGCTTAAAATACAGTTGCCACTGTCCCTCCTCTTCTTCTTCAGAGCCAGCAAGTCTGTAAGATATGAAAGAGAATGAGAAGGGAAAAAACCAGTAAGGAAAAGAACCACAGTACTGGGATGTCCACAGTGCAACTCACAATTTGAAGGTAACCCTGGATTCTGAAATCCAGTGTTACATCCAACTAGGAATTAAAGGTTTTATGAAACATTCTTTTACCTCTCAAACTTGGCCAAGATATCAGCCACAATCACCCGACTCTCCACAGCACGGTCAACCTGCTGATTATGTTCAAAGAGCGCAAACATATTCCGGCTGTCCTCCATTGCTAAACCTCGGATCAACTTTTCAACCACCTGCAAAATCAGAGAGACACAGATCACACAACAGGTATTACACACACTTTCACACTGAAAAATCAGTGCCTCTTCAGGACACTCATCATTTCATACACTTCCATCACATTTCTCCCTTAGTTACCTTGTTTTCAGAATAATGAATACTAACCCTAAAAGATGACTCCCTGTATTTACATTTGATCATCCTTGCTTTTCTTCTCTGAACCTTTTCAATTTCCCCTTTTTAAAGATCTATCCTTTTTAAGATGGGGAAATTAGAGCTCTGCACAAGATACAGGCACATAACGGATTCAGATGGCATGACATTCTCAGTTCCTCTAATAACAATTCCACTTTTTCCTCTGTTGAGCACTAATGTTTTCACAGACATGACTACTGCAACTTGGAATCTTGCGTCTGACCTGCTAGTGATTAAGTTACTGCTAGAATATCCCTTTCAGAAGGATTCCATTACGAACTGGAATTTCTACTTGTCCAGAAAACTGTGTTTAGCAAGTCTTCAGAATTAGTACCTTTCCAATGGATAGAACACCAGAAGTGTTTAGATTTTGCAACACAACTGTCAGGTGATATTCTACAACGTGGGCACTGGCCTTGTAGAATAAGCTGAAACTTCCCTACAGATACAGCAAAAAAGTTATAATTTAAAAAAAAACAACAAAAAAAACCAAACAAAAAATGAAATTAGGAGATGAAGGGGTAAATGGTGTCTCTTCATCTGGTTAATGCTACTAATGCATTACCTCCCCAGCGCTGGTGTGGGAGTTGATGGTTATTTTACAGGAGCCGCCGCCATGGCAGTACACTGTTGTGGTCATTTCTTCACGTGTGAGAAGAGCCTGTATTTCCTCCTGGGAGGGCACAAACTCCCTTGTCTTTGTTCTCTTCAAGGAGTCACTTATGAATTGTGCATACCTGTCTATTTCTGAGTCTGGAAAGAGGTCTTTTACCCTAATTGTAAAAAGAAGTAAAAAAACTCCATTACACATTGAACCACACATTACCATGAAACTTGTCTGGTAGAGATATTGATGTCAAGTGCAACCACAAGAAATACAAGCTTATTTCCTAAACCATGCAACCTGCTTTTACTAGTCATTTGAAAGTGACTTCAGTGACATTGCTCAGCAACATGTGAAATAAGCAGTTCAAATTATCAGGAGTTTAGTACCAGCTGAAGACAGTACAATCGACTATCTCAATTTACAAAACTGAGAATAAAAACTATGAAATCAAATGTAAACTTTTTTCATTTATTTTTAATGGTTTTTTCATTTACTGGCTGTGTTTGAGCACTTTTACAGTATATTTGAGAACTAAGAAGATAGAACATAGATGCTTGTACACAGTTCTCTTCCCTCCAAGGGCAGCACTTCTAAGTATAAAAATATCTGCAACTGCAGTGGTAAAACTATGAAATGCCTACACCGAGTATTCTTCAGCACCTCTGAGACTCAGGCCCTGGGTGTAGCTATTTAGTGTACTGACACAAAATTCACCTCACTCTTTTCTAGCTTGTCAATAATTAAACAGATTTTATTGATCTTTCTCATCATTCTCATCATTAAGTATAGAGAGAGGCTACAAGGCTGCAGCTCAGCCCCAACGCAGACTGCTTTGGAAAGCTGCATTAGATGCTGAAGATGAATTGGGAAGAAATGGAAATTACTTAGTTCATGAAAATGGGAGGCTGAAGCAGACTAAAATTAAAAATTGTAAGCATTATGTGCTTACTTAAGCAAACAAATATTGAAAAATTATAGTTTGGATTTACAGTACATCTCCCGTTCCATAGTACACATTTTGCTTGTGCCAGCTGCAGGGTAGTACACATTTCAATCAATATGAAGGTTTGGCCCTCACCTTTCCAGGAGGTTGATAATGTTTATATGTACCTTAGTAAGCAGTAGGTCATCAGCTGTAAATCCACTGTAACACAGTCTCATGGTATTCTCTTTGGGTAACTTACATGCCACATCCTTTTGACACAGTAGATGGATGGCAAGGGGGGAGTTTGAACACACAGAACAACTAGTACCAAGAATTGTGTGCAAAAGTAGGAGGCTGGAACACCACAGGAAGATGTTTCCACAGGAGGAGGGCAGGATAGGTAACTACAAGGGGCAGTGTAAAGCAGAGTAAAAGGAAACAGGCTGCAAACAGAAGGGACATTTACCTTCGAAGGTGGAATTTGAGGTAGCGCAGGATCCCTCTGCTGGGCAGGAAAGTGCAGCTCATACAGCACATCAGCTGCCAGTGGTGCAGGTTCCCAGTACTGTTGGGATGTGGCATGTGGTTAGTTTGCTTGATGAGCTGACAGTACACTTCATCACGAAGAGGCTTTAAATCATGGCAGGTCTGCAGGATGCCTTGGATAATGGGTATGGGGTCAGACACCGTCTCGATTTCCTGAAGGGAGTTGAAGATCTTCACTGCTTCATCCTGTAAGCTGCTGTAACCCTTCTCCTGTTGCACTGGGAAACAATCACAAGTGACAAGAGGTGAACATCTCCCTCATTTTCTAATGGCCCAGCAACACTACAAGCAATTGTACTACTCTGTACAGCAACCTGAACTCATATCCTGAACTTAAATTTATCCTCAAAATTCATTAATACTTCCCCTATAAATGTTCAAATGCAGTTTTAAGTAGTGTTTGTCAGCATCTCACTTTGCACCACTGCAAATTCACGTCTGGATATACTGTGCAGAAAAGCAGAGTGATGCTTTTAAGGGAAACAAGCACTGAAATCTAGTTCAGGCTTCAGTGTCTGCAACTGAGGTGCCTAAATGCAGCCACCGAAGCCTGGCTTGTATACTTTCAAAACTCCGTGCTGTGCCTGTATTAGCTTTGACCCCTGAGCCAACAAAGAACTTTCACAAATTGTGAAATTGCACAGATGCAGCTTTTACCTATTGTTTACATTTAAAATTCTTAGACCAAAACTGCTTACATTTTTT